GTTAGAACATTATTTTTTGTTGTATCACCAGTAAAGGGACTGGTTACAGTTCTTAATATTAAATTAGTTGACATATCGTTTATTTATACATTGGGATTTTATATTGAATACCATTTATTGATACTGCAAGCCATGTATTTACACTACCTGTTGTAACAGGGGTTGTACCTGTTTGACCAACAATAACTGTTTGGCGTGTTGCACCAGTTGGGGTAAAGAATAAGTTGCTTCCATTATATTCAACAGTACCATTGATTGGTGTAAGTAAGGTTGTACCTGAAGCAAGTATCATTGGTGCAACTGTTGTTGTACCACCTGTAATATGTAATGAAGCCAAAGGAACCTGAACACTTAAACCAACTGGTTTATTGAATACTATTGTTGATTGATTGAATATAGCCAAATCAGCCCTAGCCGCTGCGCTTGTACCATTGCCTATAATCATCAAAGCAGTTGTGTTTGAGTTATTATAAGTTCCCTGTACATGCTGGTTATTTCCAGCTGCAATTGTTCCTAATCCCTCAGCATGGGCACCAAGACCGCTGGCAGTTGTACCACTACCTTCAGAATGTGACATCTGTCCGCTGGCTGTTGTACCACTACCTTCAGCATGGGCACCATTAATGTTTGCAGTTGTCGAATATCCTTCAGCATGGCTTCCTTGACCGCTTGCAATGCTAAACACCCCTTCAGCATGTGAATAAGTTCCTGATGATTGGGTTGCACCACCTTCAGCATGGGTATAGTCACCAATTGCATTTGATTGGAATCCTTCAGCATGCGCATAAGAACCGTTAGCACTTGTATTATTCCCTTCAACGTGGCAATAAGAACCAACAATGATACCATTGAAGGCTTCATTCACGTTACCAGCAACAGAAAGGGTTGAAGCCGTAATTGTTGCAGCGGATAATAAACCATTGACAGTAACACCTGTGAAATTGTTTATTGTTGTAGATACTGTACCACCTGTGGTATTGGTTAAGGTTAATGAATTGTTTGTGAATGTACCACCTGTAATTCTTTCATTGCTTCCAATAACACCTGTTAAACCAGCACCATTACCAACAAAGGTAGAAGCTGATATTGTAGTTGCTGAGATTATACCATTGACGGTAAGACCTGTAAAGTTGTTGATTACAGTAGATACCGTACCACCTGTATTGTTAGTAAGGGTAAGGATATTATTACTGAATGTACCACCTGTTATTCTTGAATCTGTAGAACCAGTAAATAAACCAGTAACATTAAATGTTGTTCCTGTGTTGTTTGTGAAAGTTATCACACCATTACTATAAGTACCGCCTGTAACATAAGAATCAATTGAAGCACTTGAAGTACCACCAGTACTAAAACCAGATATACTAATTGTGGTTCCTGTGTTGTTCCTTAGTGTAAGTGTACCGGCTGAGTATGTACCACCTGTAAAATATGAATCAGTAAATGTTGGAAGACCTGTAAGGTTACCACCATTACCAAAAAATGTTGTTGCAGATATTGTTACAGCAGAAATTGAACCATTAACAGTAAGTCCTGTGAAGTTGTTTATCAATGTTGATACCGTTCCACCAGTATTATTGGTATATACAAGGGTATTATTATTAAAGGTTCCACCTGTGGTAAGTACTTCAATTGGAAAAACAATACCAGTAATATTTGCACCGTTACCAAAAAGGGTTGTTGCAGATAATGTAGTTGCTGAGATAATACCATTGACAGTAAGACCTGTGAAGTTGTTTATCAACGTTGATACAGTACCACCTGTATTATTGGTTAGCGGTTAATCTATTGTTTGAAAATGATGCACCTGTAACACTGGTATCAAAGAAGCTTGGTAAACCTGTTAAGTTACTACCATTACCATAGAAAGTAGTTGCAGTAATCGTAACTGCTGAGACACCACCTCCAAGGATTGAATTCCCCAATACATGAAGTTTTGCAGTTGGGTTATTAGTACCAACACCAAAGTTACCAGCATCAGAATCACCAAATACATAAACCCTATCATATAAAGCCCTTAAAGCCTGTCTTGCTTGGGGGTATATCAAGAAGCCATTACCAGTCCCGGCAAAGAACCCTGTTGTTGCACCCAAGGAAGAAGTTGATGGTGTAATAAATAATGTACTGAAGGCTTCAGGGTTTTCAATCCTTACAGCAGCCGTATCACTAGTACCCAACCCTGAATTATAGATAAATAACCCAGCATCATTACCACTAGGAACATTTATCTTAAGTCTTTTGGTTGAATTATCTACAGTATAGAATGAAGTACCTGTAAGGATACCACTATTATTATACTGAATCTGGGTATCACTACCCCCCGGCCCTGTTGCAATCCCTGTAAGGTTAGCACCATTACCATAATATGTAGTTGCTGAGATAGTCCCGTAAACCGTTAATCCTGAAAGGTTATTTATCAAGGCTGATTTGCTGGTTCCATCACTGCAATTAACAGCAAGGGTATTGTTACTGAAAGTAACACCAGTTACAACAGTATTTGCCGTAACCCAACCCTGAAGCATTCAATATAACGCCATCATTTCTATATATAGATATAACCCCTGTTGTAAGGGCTTGTAAGTACAACCAGTTACAAAGGTATTAGCAGTCAAAGCAGCAAGGTTTATAGCCGTACCATTGACATATATTGAACCACCTGATATACTAGCAGCTGAAAAAGATGTTCCAATTAAAGCCCCTGTAAGGGTTCCGCCAGACAATGGAAGATAAGCACCAGATGTATTGATTCCGGTTAGGTTTGAACCATCACCAAAATAAGTTACACCTGATAAAGCACCTGTAAGGGTTCCACCTGATAAAGGCAAATAAGCACCAGATACAGAACCACCTGTAATAACAAGGGTTGATAAATCCAGTGTATAAGCACTTAAGGCATTATTGGTATTGAAGTAAGCAATCTTACCATTAAGACTAGCAGAGATGGTATAGTTATCATTTGCAAGTGGTGATATATTTCCCTGACTTGCTGAATTGATTGGTGTTAAACCACCTTCAAAAAACCAGCCGCTTGCATCTGAAGTAATTGAATCATCAGAATAAAAGCTGGTTAGCTTGTACTTCTTCAGAAAAGCAATAATACTTTCCTTATATGTGGTTGAAAGATTATCATAATAATCCTTCACATTGGTTAAATCACCATCAGATAAATCAGAAGCTGAATTATCATTCATCTTCATCAAACCCTTGGCTGTGAATTTATATTGATTGGGAATAACAAACTCAGCAACCGTCTTATTAATCAAATAAGGCTTGATGATTGATAATAAATCTGAGTATAAAGAAGACATTGCTTCACCGCTAAGGCTTAAAGCCTGAACAGCAAACAAAACATTGTTATAAATCCCTTCTGTAAGAATTGGCTTTAAGATTGACCTGCTGAACCTGTTGAATAGTACCTAGCTAAAAGCTTTACATCAACATTATCTTCAATCGGTGAATTAGCAAATACATCATTGATAGTAATCATCAACACATTATTCAATTCAGATAATTGCTGATAAGTATAGGTTGATTCAGCCTGTACATAATCATCAATATTGGCTTCCTGTGCTTGGTCAATCTGAGTAGTTAGGGTAACACCTTCAAAAAACCATCCTGTTGATTGGTTAGTAATTTGCCAAATCATTATTATAATCAATCAGATTGGAATCCTTAAGGAATTGTACAAGGTCTGATTTGTATCCGCTAATAAGATTATTATAATACTGCTTTACCCCTTCAATATCACCAGATGATAAAGACGTTGAAGAATTATCATTAAGCTTCTGAACACCTTTATTTGTAACCTTGAAATTATTTATAATGATGAAATCAGAAACGGTTTTTGCAATAAGATAAGGCTTAGATGCTTCAATTAAATTGATATAAGCATCAGAAAGGCTTACACCTGATACACTATAATCATAAACAGCTTGGGTTAATCCTTCAAATAACGCCTTTCCAATAATCGGTTTATAAGCTGTTTCCTGAACAATTGAAATAGTCTTGGCAAGCAACTTCAAATCAATGTTATCTTCAATAACGCTTGATTTAATTACTTCTTCAACAGATATTAATAATACTTTTTTATTCATTTATATAAATCTTAAATTCCTTTAGTTAGCTTGAACCCTTGGTTTCACCTTAACCGCTATCCATTCGTGTCTACAATAAGGGGTTGTTTCACCTGTTTCAGGGTTGAAATACCAACCCCCTGTGAATTGATAAATGTCATATCCAAAGATTGCCGACATTGTACCAATATCTTCCCGCGTATATAACCGATTATTAGTTATCAACTTTTCACAAAAGCTTCTGGTTCCTTCAATAATTTCTGTTCCCTTGATGTTTGGCCTTTTCTTATACTTATACATCACAGTTACCTTATCCGTATCAGGAACATCAGCCTTTGGAACAGGTGTAACCTTAATCCTTCCATCCCTGTCAATATCCACTTCAGCTAATCCTGATTCCTTTAACGCTTGAAGAACATCCCTTAATTCACTTGTATCAGTCTTTATACCGCCTTCCTTCTTCAATACATCAACCAATTCATCAATGGTTAAACCCTTAATATCATTGGCAATAATATAATCAGCAATATCAGATTCAGTTGAAAACCTTTGCCTATTATGAACCATTTCTTCAACAACATCAAAATCATCAGCAGTTACCCCAAGATGCTTAACCTGTTCATAATCTTCAGCGGTTAGCTTCCTGATACCCTTTTTTTTTCAGC